TCCACTTATAAGAAATGTTCAGAATAAGCAAATCTATAGAGACAGACACAAGTTTAGTGGTTGCCTTGGGCTGGGGGTAGGGGTGAGGACTGAGGGAAAAATGGTAAGTGACTGCTAATGGGAACTGGGTTCCCACAAAAATGTTCTAAACTTGATTGTGGTGATGGTTGCACAATGCTTTGAATATACTAAAAACTATTGAACTATATACTTTAAATGGGTGAGTTATATGGCATGTTAATTATATCTCAGTGAAATTGTTTTTTTTAAAGAGTAAATGATAGATGAGAAATTGGAGACAGCATACGTATAAAAATATGTGATTAATGGGAGTAGAGAAAAGGTAGAGACTGCGATGGATGGGGAGGCCAAGGGAGGGGTTTTTTTTGTTTCTTGTTTTTTAAGGATGAGAGCTGCTAGGTCACCTTTGAATGCTTCTGGAAAGGATCTAACAGAAAGAGGTTGAGGATGCAGGAAAGTGAAACAATTGGTGAAATAAATATGGTCTCTCAGAAGGCAGAAGGAAATAGGGTCCAGATCAAAGATGGACAGACTGACCTTTTATGGATGTAAAGACAACTCCATGGGAGGGAAGAAGGAGAGGATAGTACAGGTCCGAGAAGGCTGATGGATTAAGTGATGGGGAAAATGAGGAGAAACGAGTCCAGTGGCTGTGGACTTTCTCTGAAGAGGGGGAAGAAAGAGTGAGAGGTTTGGACAACAGGAAAGGTGTGAAATGAACACGGTGGCTGCTGGGAGAGCAAGCTTTTTAGGGAAAACCGGTAATGTTTCCAGGAAGTATTGGGGGTGGTTGATAATGAATCCATTGGATGATTTTCTTGGCAGTGCTCATCTGTTGGGTGCAGGCATGGAGCAGGCATGATTGGGTTCCTCTGTTGGAACGTGCTCCATAAAGTCACTAACGGACTCAGTCCTCATCTTACTGAAAGATTCAACAACGTGTAACAAACTGACACCATCTCTTTCCTTGGGCTTCTGGGGCCCACACCTGCTAGTTTTCCTCTTTCCTTTGTGGCCACCACTTCTCAGCTTCCTTTGATAGCATAGTCTCCTCTGCCTAACTGCCTTTAAATTCTGGTGGCAAGCTTGGGAAATAACATGAAAAAGTTGGAACATGGTACCTGCTCTCCTGATACTTAATTTTATCAGGAAAAACAGACAATCAATAAGCAATCCCATAATGCGTCATTTAATCTCAACTGTGATCAGGCCTACCAAGGAGCATGTAAGGCATTGGGGATGAACAGCAGGAAGTGCTGACTTGGTTTGGTATCCCTTTTACATGAGATTTACCAACAAAACACTTTTCAGGGAGCAGATATTCAATAACTATTTGCTAAGTGTACGAAAGACGAAAGGGAGAAAAATAGTAACTCTGTAGCCTGGAGTTGCTTGAATAGTATAAGAGTTCTTTTCTTTAAAAGAATTCAACCATTTTTTAAAGTGGCAGGAAAGATACACCTGGGACAATGACAAAGCTGTATACTTAGGAATGACAAAAAAGCCATATTAATAGAGAAGGAGAAATGGCTGCATCTCAGTCATAATCTATAATAAAATCGGTGTTGACATGAATATACTTCAGTTCATTAGAAGAAAGGTGTACTTTGAAAGGGAAAAAAATCACCATCATGCAAAAGATTTTTGGCAATCTTTCTTCAAACAGCAGGAGATGCAAAGATATATAGGATGGGCTTCCCTGGTGGCGCAGTGGTTGAGAGTCTGCCTGCCAATGCAGGGGACACGGGTTCGAGCCCTGGTCTGGGAAGATCCCACATGCCGCGGAGCAACTGGGCCCGTGAGCCACAACTACTGAGCCTGTGCGTCTGGAGCCTGTGCTCCACAACAAGAGAGGCCGCGATAGTGAGAGGCCCACGCACCGCAATGCAGCGTGGCCCCTGCTCGCCACAACTGGAGAAAGCCCTCGCACAGAAACGAAGACCCAACGCAGCCAAAAATAAAAATAAATAAATAAATAAAAAGATATATAGGACATAGCTGCTTCCTTCAAGGAGCTCAGAATTTAGCGACAGAAGAGATGATATAAAGACAACCAAAGATGCAAAGAAATATAACAATCTGATGGTATCCCTTAGACTAGAATTTTTCAAGAAAAAGTAAATGTACCAGCCTACAATTTTCAGTGGCTTAGAAGCAGAAGTTAGTTATGAATAAGCAAGAGGATTAAGAATAAATACACGCAAATGCCCCGGGCCAGGACGGGACCCTGTGGCAAGGGAGTTCCTGGGGAACAGTCTCCGAGGACAAGATGAGCATGCAGGAGGCCTCCTGGGGAGGAGTCTCAGGATCGATACACATGGAAACGAAGGGAAGAGAGCAGGATTGCACAGGATGGTGATGCAGGGCTGGTGACTCCCCACACTGACCCACAGGGAGTTCTCAGGCTGGATTTGCCCCTAGTTGGGGTGAGAGGAGGGGTCTTATAGCCCTGCAGTGACCAGTCATGGTTTGCAGACTGCACTTAGGAAGGGAGAGTGGTATTGGGCAAAGAGCCTCTTCAGCCAAGGCAATCCTTGAAGAAGGCTTCATGTTGAGAGGTGTCTGCTGGCAGCTGGGGAAATTAGGCCTTCGGTCCTGAAGGGAGATCAGAAGAACACATCACAGTGCCCAGGCCCAGGGTGGCACTTTCATTCCACTTGTTACCATGAAATCTTCAAATCGGATCCATGGAGTGACACGCAGCCCATCTAGAGAAGCAAAGAGAGGACTTGTGTCTGACGGCATAGAAATACAAATTCTTATATTTTAGTTAAAACCAAATTTTAATGACAAATGGACTGCCTTGTTAGAAGAATATGGGCACCTTTTGCAAACATTTGACTGGGGGTTTCCTTTTGATTAAACTTAAGAACTGGCACAGATAACACAAAGTCAGGGGAAATCTAACAAAACTGGGAAGTGTAATTTGTAGCCCAGACAGGATCACCTGTAAGCCTCTCATCTTAACTGTTTAATGAATAGAATTCAGGAAGATTTCTGCAAAAGGCTGCTTTACGTAGCTTAATCCATGTCCTGTTGAAAGGGCAGGACCAACTCTTGGCAAAAATGGGAATGAGATCAACTGAAGTGTCCTCCGAACCTTTTCTTATCATGGCATGGCTTATCATGGAGGCTTATAATTAGGACTTATTATCAAATCTTTACCCAAGGCAGTGGATGAGAGGCAGGTACCCTATACCCAGATCTCTCCTTTTGACAACCTCCTCCTATCTCCCCTTCTGACATCCTACTATCTTCTAGTAGCCAAAGGCTACTCATACCTGCTCTCCTTGGGAAGTGCTTCAAATGATTTCTTTCAAACCAGGGTTTCCCAGTGTTTGCTTTGTGAACCATTTGCATTAGAATCAGTAATACGTTAGAAAGTCAGCTTTCTGAATCCCACCCCGACCTTCCAATTCAAAATCTCTGAGACTGAGAACCAGGAACCTGTGGTTTTTTTAAGAAGCTGGCTAAGTGATTTTTGTGCACATTGAAATTGTAAACACTCCTCTTTCATGGCCTCAGCTCTCACACGGGATGAACAGCGCTAAACTGATGTCTGATAATGCTTAGCGTGTTGTCCATCTCATGGATGGCATAGCTTTTTAACTGAAGACGGTCTCTAAGGAGTCAAACTCAATGGGGAAATTTCAGCCACCAGGGCAAGATGATTACTGAAGATGTCCTCCTCCCTTTCTCTTCCTCTTCCTACAGTTTTCCTTGGTGATAGACTTATCTTCTTGGTGATAGATCCTCCTTCAATCTTGGATCCTTCTATAAATACATGTGTCAGTCAGGAAACTCTGTAGACAACCTTAGATTTATATAATAACTTCTCCTTAACTAACTCCATTCTGGGGAAGGCACATTGCAACCAGATATGAAAACAAACTTCCCACATTCCCAAGGGAGCCATCTAACTAAGTATTGCAGGAAAAAGAAAACAAACCAAAAAGATTTCATTGTCAAATAAGTTTGACGTACACTGAATTAAAATTAAGCTGTTTCTTTATCAGAGAACTTCTCAGAGGCTTTAACATGCTGTTGTATATTATGAATTCCCCAGAGGAGGCTACATATGCACTGTCCCAGCTTTTCTTGCAGAGCTCTTGAAGTTGTCATACTCTATGGATTGCACTTCGGGAAAAGTTGTTCTAGATTTTAGCAGATTGTCTGACCATCAATTACACTCATGCTGTAGCATGGTTCACATTGTCTACATTCTGAAATTCTTTGGCTGAGTTTGACTTCAGGTAACTTTTATGGCTGCTTAGCTTCACCTTAGGGTTTGATTTAAAGCACCCAAAGTAGGTCTTCATTTTCTGTTATTTCAATAAACTTCAGATTTCAGAGCCACGTCTCATATTTTATTAAATTTACTTTTAAGCAAACTACACAATCCTTGGCCAATGTTTTGCAAGTGGATTTTGCTTCTCCTCCTTTTGACTGAAAGAACTTTCTTAAACTAAATATCAGTGTTCCTGTTCTCAATGTTTATTTGAAAACTTCTGTTCATTTTAGAGTCATGTTTCTACTGTATCCCTTTTATTCCATCTAGCATTTTGATATTTGCAGGGAAAAGCTTTTTGAAACAATATTTGCATCTACCTCAAATAAATACTTCAGTTCACACAGCTTTCAGTATAAAGTTCTGACTTTAAAGAATTCAGATGTTATTTTCACAAATATCTATACTCCAATTATATTTCCTTCTCTTAAAAATAGCTAATGTCATTCTCCCAGAAAGGATCAGAGCTTCTTTATTGATAATTTCTTAAACTTCCTTTCAATCTTGAACAAGCTTTACCATAAAGTGTTTATGGGAAAACAATGCAGATTTCATCATAAAGACCTAATCAAGAATAGATAAGGGCTCTGAAGCTTTAGGAGTTGCAATCATGCCATTCAAATTCATCTTAGAAATATATCACCATATAAATAAAATAAGATTATAACGTTTTAATGGATTTTGTTTTCAGCATCTACAGAGGTGGGTTGTGACGCTGTCTGGGAGAAGGATCTCAATTCACACATTTGCTACCAATTCAACCTGCTTTCCTCCCTCTCCTGGAGCGAGGCACACTCTTCATGCCAGATGCAAGGAGGTGCTTTATTAAGTATTGCAGATGAGACTGAAGAAAATTTCATAAGGAGTAAGTAGGTGGATGATGCACATTGATGTCGGTACAGTTAAAATGACTGGTGTTTACAGTTATGTCCATGTATGCCAAGATGCCTTCTGGAAAGAAAAGATCCCTTGGAAAATATTTTTCTGTTATTAACATGGCCCAAACTCACACCCAGAATTTTGACCTGAACCCTGGGCCATTCCATTTGACACCTGGCCGTGCCTCTCTTATTTCCCCCCCCCCCCCCGAAAAGAGAAGTTGAGGCTACAGCAAGGGACCCAGGAGAATTTTCAGCTCCAACAAGTGCATAGGGAGACTTCTAAACTTAAGTCCGAATTCCTGCTTTGCTGGGGAGCTTAGCCATTCCGTTTCCATTTATAAATAATTAAGCTGTTTACTAATTAAGCAGAATCTTACCTGTCAGTCACTGTGTGTAGTAGGGTTTCCAGTGGATGCCAAAGAACTTAAAATTTAATTGGAAAAGCAAAAGCACACACATGTTAACTAACGCTGTAAAGTAATAACATAAACTGTCAAAAGACTGCTAAGGAGCTGGGTCTGATCTATTTCACCTCTCACCTAAACTCTCTTTTTACTTTTATAGATTAAATGTGTCTGTAGATGTGTACATGCAGCATTTAAAAATCTTTCTGAAACATTTGAAAGTGTCACAAAATTAGTCACTTTCATTAAAAGTTTCTGATGCTTTTTTTCCAAATTATATTGCACATGTTTCTTCTAATATAACAATAATAAAATTATTCTAGGATAATTTTAAAAGTTCAAGGAAAAACTCTCATAGTTCCACAATCCAGAGATAACCATGTTTCTTCTGCAAAAAAAAAACCCCATAAAAATGCATGCATAATCCATAGTATCTATGAAAAATGATATTGAATAAAAAGATGAGGCGGTTGTTGCACAGAGGTTAGGAACAGGGGCCAAAGAGCCACCTGCATGGGTTTGAATCCCACCTCCATCACTTACTACCAGTGCTAAAGAAGTAACTTAACCTCTCTGTGCCTCAACTTCCCCCCTCTATCAAATGGAAATAATAACAATACCTACTTTTTGGTGGTGAGAATTACATGTTATAGAACAGGTGAAAATTTAGAAAAGTGCCTGGCACACAAATCAAACACTCAGTATGTGTTAAACATTTAACAGCAACTATGCGCACAGTTTAGTAACATGCTTATATAATTTACCTGCATAGAATGAACATCTGTCCATGTCTATAAATATAGATCTATATCATAGTATTTAATGGTTACATAGCGATACAGGTTAGAGATAATATATTTAGCTAATCTCCAAATATTAGATAGGGATAGGTAGATAAAATTCTTTATTTTGTTTTTATTTACTTATTTGTTGCTATGTAAAACCATCCCTCACATACCTTTGTGCATAGATCCCTGATTATTTCTCTCTAAGTTTGTAGAAGTGGATTCACTGGGTGGAAGAGGAAGCACATTTTAAGGCTTTTGAAAGTCATTAATAACTTCTAGAAGGATTGTAACAAATGCATGAACAGTATATGTCTGCCCCTTTCCCCACAGACTTGCAAAAGTGGGAAATTATCACTGAAACTGATCTGAGTGAATCATATTGCAGGAAAACACCCATTTCCAAAATCATTATTAGCCTGTAATGGTATTTATAGAAAATTTTGTGCAACATTTATGAATTACAATTGTTATCTATTTTGACTGCTGGGATCTTTAATAAGAGGGTTTGGACTTAATCAGATTTGAATAAAGATTAAAGGAATAAGATATGTCAGAGACTTTGATTTAAATACCACAATTTTATAATTAGATTTCGGGGATTGTTTAGATTGGGAAAACAGAAGAGTATTCATTAAGACAGAAGCTTGTTCTGACCAAGGTATTTTTTAATGTTGAAAATAGTCTACCGTTTCTTGTTAATCGCTGGTGAACATTAACTATGGTATAAGGAATTATCTAAACTGCCACAAACGCCAGGAAATAGCCAAAGGAATTTCAGTTTGCATTTATTAGTATAGAATTGTGAGCCAATTTACTTGTAAAGCTAAATAGACTATTTTTGTACTTTTAAACACAGATTAGAAATTATACAATGATTTTTTAATATGTACTGTTAAGACAGTCACACAGAGGGTATTCAAAATAACTCTAAGGTAAGAATAATTAATACTTAAATATTTTAAGTAGATTACTTGAAAGCAGCACTTGGCACTTACCCCGATATGAAATGTGGAAATTTCTCCGTCTTGTCAATCCATCTTCCATTCTGCCTTCTGTCGTGATGACACCAGTTAGATGATTTAATCAAATGGTGCTATTGGAAGCACTAACCAAATAGACATTAGGAAGAGACTTGTGTTTATGCCCCAGAAACTTGGAAAGGCAGAGCCCATGAATGCTGTTCCTGTCCAGTGATTTCAGGGATCTCAAAATTATAAAGCACCTTTTTCTCTTTCCTTAAAGGTTTAGCTTCTTCCAGTTTTCCACTGTTGTTTCAAAATACCCAATCACAGAAGGTGCTGCAGCCTTGTGATGTGAATGCACTAATCTTTACAACCTTGGTGACCATACAATCGATCATCCAGACTGAGACCCTTTGAAGAGTAAAAGGTTCTGCCACCAATACTTATTCTGGAACTACCAGCATAAGCCGTGAATTTTCCAGGCAAACTGGGACATACGGTCACCCTATTTATCACTCTTATCTGTCAGGGTCTCAGTCTCAGGCAGGGCCCCTGCATCTGGCTCAGAATAAATTGGGTTCTGAAGCAGATGAATCATAAGGGATCAATGCTGTCCTTTATAGATTAGAAGATTCAATGGCAACATTTGAAAGTGTCACAAAATTACATTCACTAAAGTCTCTGACACTGTTTTTTCCCCAAATATTACAGCACGCGTGGTACATGTTTGTCGTAGAGTAATTTTTTAAAGTTCAGGTGCACAAAAAGGAAAACCAAAGAAAAATTTCCCCTAATTCTACAATTTTGAGAAGCATATTTTCCTACACAAGCATGTCAAGGCACATGTTTCTACATAGCACTGATAACAAAATTGGAATTGAATTAAAACAGGAGGAGCCGAGGCACAATGGTTAGGAGAAGGGGCCTACAGAAAGCCTTCTCCCACACCAAGCTGAAGAAGCATTTGCACTGCTCATGGCCCCAACCTGCTATTTTTTTTTTAAACATCTTTATTGGAGTATAATTGCTTTACAATGGTGTGTTAGTTTCTGCTTTATAACAAAGTGAATCAGCTATACATATACATATATCCCCATATCTCCTCCCTCTTGCGTCTCCCTTCCTCCCTCCCTCCCTCACCCTCCCTATCCCACCCCTCTAGGGGGTCACAGAGCACCGAGCTGGTCTCCCTGTGCTATGTGGCTGCTTCCCACTAGCTATCTATTTTACATTTGGTAGTGTATATATGTCCATGCCACTCTCTCACTTTGTCCCAGCTTACCCTTCCCCCTCCCCATATCCTCAAGTCCATTCTCTAGTAGGTCTGTGTCTTTATTCCCATCCTGCCCCTAGATTCTTCATGACCATGTTTTTTTTTTTTTAGATTCCATATATATGTGTTAGCATACAGTATTTGTTTTTCTCTTCCTGACTTAACTTCACTCTGTATGACAGACTCTAGGTCCATCCACCTCACTACAAATAACTCAATTTCGTTTCTTTTTATGGCTGAGTAATATTCCATTGTATATATGTGCCACATCTTCTTTATCCATTCATCTGTCGATGGACACTTATGTTGCATCCATGTCCTGGCTATTGTAAATAGAGCTGCAGTGAATATTTTGGTACATGACTCTTTTTGAATTATGGCTTTCTCAGGGTATATGCCCAATAATGGGATTGCTGGGTCATATGGTAGTTCTATTTTTAATTTTTTAAAGAACCTCCATACTGTTCTCCACAGTGGCTGTATCAATTTACATTCCCACCAACAGTGCAAGAGGGTTCCCTTTTCTCCACAACCTCTCCAGCATTCATTGTTTGTAAATTTTTTGATCATGGCCATTCTGACTGGTGTGAGATGATATCTCATCGTAGTTTTGGTTTGCATTTCTCTAATGGTTAATGATGTTGAGCATTCTTTCATGTATTTGTTGGTACTCTGTATATCTTCTTTGGAGAAATGTCTATTTAGGTCTTCTGCCCATTTTTGGATTGGCCAACCTGCTATTGATCCCTCTACATACTCTGGTCCTGTGGACTCTGCTCTCCTCTTGGCCAGACAAACCCCATTGGCTCTCGACTGGACAGCCCTTCCCCCATTTCTTTAGCACACCTTAAATTTGAGGGCTTGCCTCCCGGCACTAACAACACTTAATACGCCTTCCGCTTCCTAGCCAGACCCCTAAGGAAAAGGTCCTCTAAGTTCAATTTTTTTAACTGTGAAATATTTCAAGAGTATTGACAAATGTAAACATTACATCTCTGCACACACATACCCATTATAGAGATTTAATAGCATTTCTTCCTATTCCTCTTTCTCAGGGCCTGAGGTAGGCTGAGCTCAGCGTACTTGAGTCCTGAGCCTCCAGATTGAGGCCACCAGACACATGTGGCAAAAAAATAGGAAGACAGAGGGGCACTTTGTAGGACTGGCCCTGGGCACTTCCTCCTTCCCCCTCTAAAACCCTCAAGTGGGTAAGCTCACACAGGTCAGACGGTCTCAGATTTGAAACCATGAACTGTTGATGGATTGACGACCGTTGAGAGGCAGCATTCCTGTATGCTTAGATTAAACACTGCACAGTTGCTGTCAGTGAGCCTTTAGGAGACTGCCATGTTTCTCAGGCTGGCTTTTTTTACTCTGAAGCACCAGGGTGGGGTTTAGTAGCACTTAAACTCTTTTCTGCCATTGATGGAGTTAATTTATGACTCCATGCCCCAGGAACAGGAAAACAAGAAAGACGTGTAACATTGATATTTTTTTTGAAACTCCGTATTTCTCTTATTTCAGAGCACTTTGGCAATGAAGCAGTGGAAGTATGGATAGGTCTGAATCAGCTAGATGAAAATGCTGGTTGGCAGTGGTCGGATAGAACACCACTCAACTATCTGAACTGGAACCCAGGTACCTGCAGCGTTTTGTTTACCTTCAACAGGTGGCATCGTCCCATAGCCTAAAATAGCAATATTTCCCATATATGTATACGACGTGTTATTGTGAAAGTGGCTTATAAACATTTTTAAAGCCTGATTGAATTTCTATAAGGCATGCTTTTCCAAATGAGAAAATGGAGGCCGAGAAGGTAAGCCAAGGGTGCAGGAGGATATGGGTCAAAACCAAGATTCTAGTCAGTTGTTTTAAAAATAGCAACAGAGATAAGAAATTAAATCTCAGAAGTAGATGTTTATGTACAGATTGTTTTCGTATATTTTTTCCCACTCTCTCCTAGTCAATTTCCTCTCTCTTCAGTTAACCTTTGCCCTCCAAAGATATGATCAATTACTGTCTTACATCAGTATATCTCGCACAAAAAAAGGAAAATTGGTTTTTCTTATGGATTCTAAGTCAATTATATTAACTGTGTGATACAACGCACTCACATTCTGTTTAAATGTGTTGTTTAAAAGATTGTTATAGTTGAACCTTGAATAACTAGAAAATATAATAAAGTACGATTGCATTTTGTGAAAAAAAATAGCAACAGATTGAAAAATATCTCTCTACCTTAAAACAATAAAATCAGCTGTTGCTATCTTTGGGAAATCATTTCATTGTCATGCCTGGACTTCAACTGCAAAATCATAAATATAATATCTTATAGGATTTACTACATATGCCAAAGAGAAGGGCTGTCTCCTTGATGCTAAAACTACATTTCAGTATATATTGAACTAACTGCTTTTGCTTCTAACATTAAGTACACACACATTGCATTTTCAGAAATAAATTTTGAGCCATTTGTTGAATACCACTGTGGAACTTTTAATGCATTTATGCCAAGTGCCTGGAGAAGTCGGGATTGTGAGTCCACTTTGCCTTACATATGTAAAAAATATCTAAACCATACTGATCACGAAGTAGTCGGTGAGTGTTTTTATTTTAAGCTGTTTTTATAACTTGCTTACTTGCCCTCTCAATATATTCAAAGTCCTTTATTTTTTGCTAATAATTTATAATTTAAACTTAGCTAAGGCTAGTTTTTATATGAATAAAAATGTGTAACAAGATAAGATCTGTTATTCCAAAGGCACCATGAATTTAATAAATGCATTTAGGTTTTTACTAAAAACTAAAGCAAAATAACCTAAGTATAGAAAACATTTTCTCCCTCTCTTTTTAAAAACTTTGCTTTCTTATTCATTCTGCCTTAGGAAAACAAGATATGCTTCATTTTCTATTCTAGTTGAGTTTTATTTATTTATGGTTATCCTAGAAATTAAACATATGAATTAGAAAATAGTTTTATAAAATTATTTACTTCATTGATCTCCTATCATACTCTATATCTCTTATTAGTAATACTTCCTCCTTGAAATAACAAACAAAACTTTTAGGTGTACCTAAGACTAAAATACCACATAATTACAATCTAGTACCTGAAGCTCAGTTATTTCTATTCTTAAGATCTATTACTTCAAAAAAAAAAATATCTATTACTTCTTCTTAGTTTCTATGGAATTAATGTCTGAACTCAGGAAGTACAGATAAAAGCATAACCATTTTTAAAGAATCATTACCAGCATAATTAGAAACAACTCTACATTTAAAACAATAATCTGAATTATCTTTCTAAAATATTATCCCTTACAGTTAAGCTTTTTTATTTTATATTATTTTTTATAGATTTATTTTTTGGCTGCGTTGGGTCTTCGTTGCTGTGTGCGGGGTTTCTCAAGTTGCGGCGAGCAGGGGCTACTCTTCATCGACGTGTGCGGGCTTCTCATTGTGGTGGCTTCTCTTATTGTGGAGCACGGGCACGCGGGCTTCAGTAGTTGTGGCTTGCGGGCTCTAGAGCGCAGGCTCAGTAGTTGTGGCTCACGGGCTTAGTTGCTCCACGGCATGTGGGATCTTCTGGGACCAGGGATCGAGCCCATATCCCTTGCATTGGTAGGCAGATTCTTAACCACTGCACCACCAGGGAAGTCCCCAATTAAGCTTTTTAATTTACGATATTATGTTATGTTAATTTACGATATTGTGTTAGTTCCAGGTGTACAGCAAAGTGATTTAGTTGTGTGTATATATATATATATATATATATATATATATATTCTTTTTCAGATTCTTTTTCATTATAGGTTATGACAAGATACTGAATATAGTTCCCTGTGCTATACAGTAGGTCCTTGCTGTTTATCTATTCTACATAGAGCAGTGTGTATCTGTTAATCCCAATCTTCTAATTTATCCCCCCCACCTTTCCCCTTTGATACCCATAAGTTTGTTTTCAATGTCTGTGAGTCTATTTCTCTTTTATAAGTAAGTTCATTTGTATCATTTTTTTAGATTCCACACATAAGTGATATCATATGATATTTGTCTTTTTCTTACTTAATTTAGTATGATAATCTCTAGGTCCATTCATGTTGCTACAAATGGCATTATCTCATTCTTTTTTATGGCTGAGTAGTACTCCATTGTATATATGTACCATATATTCTTTATCCATTCATGTGTCGACAGACATTTAGGTTGCTTCCATATCTTGGCTACTGTAAATAGTGCTGCTATGAACATTGGGATGAATGTATCTTTTTCAATTAGAGTTTTCATCTTTTCTGGAGTTTTCAGGAGTGGGATTGCAGGATCATATGGTAACTCTATTTTCAGCTTTTTAAGGAACCTCCTTACTGTTCTCTATAATGGTTGTACCAATTTACGTTCCTGCCAACAGTGTAGGAGGGTTCCCTTTTCTCCACACCCTCTTACAAGTAAGCTTTAACTTTTATTTTCCTTTAAGTAGCTAAGCCTAAAGATATTGTAGAATATGGGGGTGAGGAGAAGAAGCATCTCATCATTTTTTTACGTAGAGATTTTTTCATTATGTCAAGAATGTGCTGACATTGCTATCACTGTTATTGTCCTGTCCCTCCCTCTTTTCCTTTCATTTTCCTGCCTCAATTTCTTCTGTCTTCATTTTTTTTTCTTATGCCCTCCTGCACTGCCTCCTGCCATCCTTCTTTTCTTCAATTTTATTTGCTCTCCTGATCTATTAATTGAGGTCAGAAGACCAGAAATGATGGCAGCTAAGCTAAGTTTGTTTGGATTATTTGCTGTTGTTTCAAGTCCAAAAAATACTTTTGATGATCTAGTCCAGTGTCTTCCAACTGTGCATCCAGGGTTCCCAGGTTCCTTCCTTATCTCCACCCTTACGTCAATCAGAGAAGTTCCTCTTTTATCTTTTTATCTTACCTCTAGAGTGAAGTTTAGGGTTCATTTTTTCAAGGGGTTCTGTGACTGTGTTTTTAGGTTGATATTATCTATCTATCTAAATGTTCTAACATTCATCCACTGTGATTCTAATAGCTGTCAGAGTCCTAGAAGTGATTTTAAAAGAATGTCTTGTTTCCCAAATTAGCAGTGAAGTTGTTTCTAACTAAGTTAGTGCTTAAGGGAGGCACCCAGCTGTGGTTAATAAAATAAAGTAAAAATGCTGTCATCAGGCTGGGGGCAAGCTCCTGGAAGAGGAGAGCCAAAGTTGGCATGCACACAGCTGCCTTCCCTGCCAGTGTTAAAGAATCGTGGCATTATTTTACTGTAAGTCGAACCCAGAGTCCATATGAACCCAGAGGGACATCAGAGGCACTAAGCCTGACCCCCAAAATAAAAGCTATCATCTCTGCTCTAGATAAAGCGGTCAGAATTTCAGATTCTTTTCAGCTGAGAATAACTATCTACCCCCCCCAACCTAATACTGTATATAAAATCCTTTAAAAAGCATTTAAATTGTGTTCCATAATACTCCTTTTTTAGTGTAAAAAGGTTTTTTTAAATGGATAGCTCTAAATGCTAAATTTTATATCTAGCCCTGACTCTCACTTTGGTTGTATGACCTTTATCAAGTCTCCTTAACCTCTTTGTGCCTTAGATAGCTCATCTGGAAAATGAAGCACTGAGATCCATTAGATCCTAGATCCAGATCATAGATGGGATCCTTTTCAAGTCTGAAGATCTAGAATGCTATGATCCATATCTTATTGTATCATATGCTTCTGTTTTTCAAATTTAAAAAATAATCATATATTCATGGTGATTTATATTGGGGGTAATAAGTAATGTTAAAACAATTGTGGTAAATAACTTCGTTTTTTGTTGGTTCAAAAAGAAAACGATGCTTGGAAATATTATGCTACCCACTGTGAGCCTGGTTGGAATCCCCACAATCGTAATTGCTATAAACTTCAGAAAGAAAGAAAGACCTGGAATGAAGCTTTGCATTCTTGCCAGTCCAATAACAGTGCATTAATAGACATAGATTCGTTAGCAGAAGTGGAGTTTCTTGTAACCCTCCTTGGAGATGGTGAGTGCCAAGTGTCTTTGGTTTAAGAAGTATGAAATTAATGTAGTAACTCTCTTTATTAGTGAAGTTGAAAAGAAATTAAGCTATTTAAAATTGATTCTTTATGGCACATGTATCTGAAATTTCCAAATAGTATCCAGGAGTGAAAATACACTGAATTTTTACAAAATACATATTCAGAAACTTTGTAACATCTCATAGATGCCAGATATATTACATGTTTTCATTTTTGGGGTTTTTGTTTTAAGGGGGAAAGGTCATTTCCTGAAATTTCTAATTTAAAAAACCTGAACCTGTAATTTAGCATAATGAGCACTAGATAGCAGTAATGTGCTGTGGCCATGTAATCCAAGCAATAAAGGAAATTCCTTACAAAAATGATTATATTAAAATAACTTTAGCCAGTGAAAATGGGTAATTTATTTGGTGTGGTGTTTTTCAAGCTGTGTAGCATGCTCAGGGGTTCCAAGCTCTGAGGCCTCCACCCAGCTTTACCCACCAGAGCAGATCTGCCCCTACCTATGTCATATATGGACATAGAATTCTGCTGGAAAACACTGAAATCATTGACTGAGAGTAAATCTTTTTTTAGTGGAAAAATCCGGCGTCTACTCTATTTCAATGTTAGGTTTTAGTTTGGAGTGAAAACAAAACTCCTTCTGTCATTGTTCCTCACCCTTCACATTTGGGATTGAAAGAATCCTGTGGCTGCCTCTGTGTCAGCGGGGCACTGGAACACTCTCTCAGCCATCGAGGGTCTTTTCTCCCTACCTAGACTGGCAAGCTTTATTTTATTTACTTTTCCAGCAACCCCACTGCTCCTATTCAATGTTTCTAAGAATTTCTGCTCCTTTTTTTTCCCTAGGCAAAAGAAAAAAAGTAAAGCTAGACATCATTAAAAGGTTTTTTTCTAAGTGCCTTTTCTTAATTCGATTGACCTTCCTATTTTTCCTTTTTCGGGGTAGAAGAAAAACGAGACTTTGCAGATCTACTTTCCATACTGTAGCATGAGCTAACTAGAGTCCTGGCAGTCTGACTTGCTTAAGCTTTGTCCTTGCCCTGGCTTTCACTGACACTCTGCCTCACTTATAAGGCCTATGTTGAGCAGATCTAGATAGATTAAGGGGGGAAGGGTTTAAGCAGGTATTTTATACCAAAACTTAAACAGGTTTCATTCCAATAAGAAACAAAGAAGGAATCACACGCAATGTGGTATATATTGGTAATAGCCCCTCTGTGTTATCACCTTTGCAGATACTAGGATTCTTGTAAGTAATTTACGTTTATCTCTTGCAGAAAATGCATCAGAAACATGGATTGGTTTGAGCAACAATAAAACTCCAGTTTCCTTTGAATGGTCTGATGGCTCCTCAGTCATCTTTACTAATTGGCACACTCTTGAGCCCCAAATTTTTCCAAATACAAGCCAGCTATGTGTCTCAGCGGAGCAATCTGTAAGTTGATTCATTTGTTCAATGCTCACTTTGCTGGACTTGTACTGAGGGCCACCTGTGCCAGGGACTTGGGCTGTGGCAGAGACCAAGACAGGCACAGTGCCTGCTCCTCCTGGGGCTTCCACGCTAAGCAGTAAAACATATACACACTAAAAACACATGGTAATTATAGTTGTGATAATAGCTCTGAGGACATAGGTTCAAGATGGTGAGAAACTTGGGTTGGGACAGCTACTTCAGACAAGACAGTGAAGGAGGGCTCTCTGAAGAGGTGACATTTAAGCTGGGACTTGAACAAAAAAAAAAAATCTCTTGAAGAGCAGGAGAACATTCCAGGCAGTGGGCAGCTGCCCAAAGGCTTGCCATGTTTGATAATCAAAAAGGAGACCAGGATGGTGTGGAGGTATGGATGGTGAAAGGTGGTAGGAGATGGGGCAGGAAGAGTGCAAAAATGTGAGGCTTATAGGCCTGGGATAGGACCCACTAAAGGGCTTCAAGTAGATGAAAGCATGATCTGATTTATATTTTAAGAGAAACTGTGGCTACTACATAGAGAATTGATTGGAGAGAAGAGAGTGGAAGCAGAGAAACCAGTTTGGAGGCTGCTCCTGTGGTTGAATTAGAGTAGTGAATATGGAGACAAGAAGACAGATTGAAGGATCCTCTAGAAGACAGGAGTTGTTGCTAAAGCAGACGTGGGGGTGAGAGACAGGTAGGTTTTTGGTTTGAGCACCCACCATTTTGGTGGATGGGGGTGCCACTGACCACCCTGGTGAAGATGAGGGGAAGAACCAAGGAGTTCGGAAATTACTCTGGAAGGTGATGGTTTTTAAGCTCCATTATCTTCTTAACATAAAAGGATTTCAACACTGCATGTAACCTCTTTGAAAACTGCAAATCAATGGAAAACCTTGCTGTTTTCTTCACATGAATGTGATGGTCCCAGTGACCTTAACATTACACTTACCTTTATGTGCTAGTCTCTCATTTATCTAACACCTCTGATTATACAGAATTTGTGTAATCCCAAGCCATTTGAAGGGTTTTTTTTATATGTTTAGAATAGACAATCTCTTTGATCAGATAGCTACTGAGCTCACTGGTGAAGTTTTAGGAGGTTATTGGGATTTGGTAGGCATGCTTACTCTTTTAAGACACCGGGATACCATATCAAGTTCCCCCAAGAAGCAGTTTATTAAATGTTACTTAAGTAGCTTGACAAAGTGATTGTGCCAGCCAAACATGGGAAATGTCTAAGCACTTACTTTTTTTTTTTTTAAGCACTTACTTTTATGACACATTTCATTGCTTTATCTTTCAAGGCTGTCACAAATCCATGCAGTTACAATGATAGTGCTCAGGCAGTGTCTCAGAGTCACACTTGAGGGGGAACAATGACCTCTCCAAATGTTTGTTTTGGGTGTTACTCTGCTGAAAACCACTGTAGTTTATTCTACAGTATTTGATGCTTTATTGGTTCATTAGTTTTGATATAATTAAGGTGATCTTAGTTTCCTATTGACATTCACCTTTTTTATTTGACAGACATGGGTATTTCACTTAGCATATTCACAAAGCAGGAGCCAACATTTGGACCGAGAAGTTGTTTTTAAGAGAGTGAGGATAGGTATTAATATTATTGGATGTGTTAGAACAATGCTGCTGTAAATGTGGTATTTTGTGGCCCCTTTTTAGCAACTCAGTAGCTCCTTAAACAGTAGATGCATAAAAAGTAACACTTATTCCCCTAAAGTTGAACTCAATATGAATGTAATTATTATAATTAACTAGTTACCTAAACATGGTCGATACCTCAATTTGAATCTGAGAGGTTGGTAACCATTCATCTGTCCATCCAATAGTTACTAAGGAACTATAGCGTGCCTGACAATATCCTATAACTGGATGGTTTGCTGGAGGCTCCATGGAGATGGGCTACAAGGCTGCTCTTACAGGTGAAGGTGTCAGCCTCCTACATAGTATGTTTCTGAGGGTCATGGAAGAGATCTCTACTCACCTAAAACCCTGCATGCCTGAGATACCTAAATTTTGAATTTGAATTGTGTGAAAATTTAAATTGTGTGGTTTTAGCCTAAAGGTCTGGTTTGTGTTAAAATAAAAAATCCTTTGGGAGGATAAAATTTTAATCAGTTAGCAGTTATTGTATTTCATCATCAATGAAGGATATGAGAACAGCCTTCATTAGAACTAGGAGAAGACATGAAGGTATCTGCCCGTCATATAAAGAGGAAATGGAGTGGGGCTTTGGAGAATTCGTGATGAAGAAGGGTACTGGGGGTCGAACATGAAGTTCAGCTATGATAATGTTATCTCGGGTGATTCATGGTGCTTTCCAGGCATTTCCCCAGCATCAGGTTTATACAGCATCAGGTAAGCAGCAAAGCATTCAATTTAACACCTAGAAGTGATTGGAGAGAAGAAGCAGCATTCTCACTTGGTCAGGGGAATAGTTTCATATAAGTGGTTCTCAAAGTGTGGCCCCCAGACCAACAGCATTCACATCAGCTAAAAACTTGTTAGAAATACAAATTCTCAGGTCCCACCTGACTTACTGAATGAGACACACGGATCCCAATCAACTCTGTTTTAGTAACCCCTCCAGGTGATTCCAGTGCACACAAAAGATTGAGAATCACCACTTATCCCATCTTTAACTAAATATTGAGAGCAGTTTAATGTAAAGCCAGACCTCCCACTCGTATGTAGAGAATCAACCTTTTCTAACACAAGATCCTGACACATTATGCCCCCTTGAAACATGCATTATTAATCATATTTTAATTCAGAATTATTGACTTTGACTATCAGCATCAATAATGGAGTGTATTCATTCTTCTTGTAATATTTTTCCTCTTAGGAGGGACACTGGAAAGTTAAAAATTGCAAAGAAACACTTTTTTACGTTTGTAAGAAGACAGGCCGTGTCCTTTCTGACACTGAATCAGGTTGCCAAAAGGTAAGAGCTGTGAACACTGCAGGGACTTCATAACCAGACTGATTTATCCACCATCAAATTAAAGTGAATCTCTCTCCCTCTCTTTCCTGCCTTGGCTTCCTCCTCTCTCTCTTCCCCCTCCTTCCCTTCCTTTTTTCTTTCCTTCCCTTCTTTTTTTTTTGAGTGGGCTATTGTAACAAGCCAAACAATTATCAGCTAGGGGCACATGAAAGATTTACAGCTCTTGGAAGGATTGTTGTCTTACCATCTACTTCCACCCAAGACTAGTTTTCTTTTGAGATAAGAAATGTAAATGATCCTGTTATACCATCTGTATAAACAATGCCTATCATGTGATACACTGTCTCACACGCGGGTTTTCATTGTCTTCCAGTGAAGACTGTCAGAGTGAAAGCAAATGCATTCCTTTGAGCCAGAGAGTGACCTTCTGCACCCAGAGTCTTGTTTTCCTTTTCACTTTTCTTAAACTTGAATATTTGAATAAAATACAATAGCAAAGAGAAGTGCATGTTTGCAACACATTTGTTATTTAGGAAAGGGATAATAAAAATACTTTGTATTTTAAGTAATAAACTATTTTTGGTACTTAAAGTACTATTTTCAGTACTAAAAATAATTTAAAAACATACTTTAGGTTTAAACTTTAAAGGTAGAAAATAATCTGTCTTAAATTTCTTAAAATACATTCAATATTCTGCTGTGTTACAAAAAATTTATCTATCAGTGTCCTTAGCACATGCATTCCCTCTCTCTCTCTCTCTCTCTCTCTCATCACACACACACACACACACACACACACACACACACACACACCCCTAAAAATTTTGGATTTAACTATTGGAGATTTTTATGCTGTGTGAGTCTCAAAATGTTCACAAATCTGGTTTTTATGCAATTCTTTTTTAATTATTTTCTCTTCTAATCCAGTTACTTATGTTCCAATTAAACGATAACCCCTCTCTTCAGAAACTGCATTTGATTCATTCATCCATGTGTAAGCATATTAGTTACTCTTCACACTTTAGCTGAACAATACATGTGCCATAGCTGACATGTGACCAGACGTTTTACCTAATGATTACATTTCCTGAATTAGTTATTACTGATCACTGATCTAATCTCTATCTGATCAGAAATATTGAAAAAAATCCATCCTACAGTGGCTTTCAAGGCAAATCAACATGTTTTATTTGTGTCGAAAGAGTAATTAACTTCTTACACAGCAGAAACAACTGATGTTCTATCTAAAGTTTTGTATACGGCTTCCCTCTTTCTGACCAGCCTTATCAATATTTAAGGATTCTGGGTTCAGAGCCAGTTCTTTACTCTTATGGCGAAATTCCATTAATTTCTTTATGCATCTATGAATATGGTTTTGAAAGTTTCCTTTCTTTTAGCCATCTGCTTCAGTGCAATTCTCTAAACAGTCTGCACATGCAAAACCAACTTATAAAATAAGTCTGGATAATTTCAAAGCAGAAATTTTTAAAAACTTTATTTCCATCTGAGTCACTTTTGGGGGACTAGATAATATGAGCAATCGTTTCAGTACTGTCACCATCATGATTTCATGTAAAATGAAATGGCACCTCATGTACAAAGGATATTCACAAATACAATCAATTATTCTTCCTGCTTTCATTGTGTGGACAAAGGCTTATAGTAGAGTCTGGTTATTACTATGCCACATTTCCCCCTCTTTCCTTGAGCCTGTTCAAGTTCTTGGGTTTTTTGTTTTGCTAAGCAGCCTATGATCTAAAAACCACTAATGAAGAAGGAGTACTTTGTCAGAAAGGTCAAATTGTCAGCCTTCCTCCTCCTGTCCTTACAAATACAAAAGCAGTCTAACCTCCCTGCCCCCTCTGGAGTGACCCACGGAGGGGTTCTGGCTGACACTGTCAATTACTCACACAGATAAGGCTGGGGAGAGAAGTTAAGGGAGTGAATTCAGAGCACATCCTGGCGGGCTGGATGTGGTGCTCCTGTGATCCACGCCTCATTTAATAACGTTTTGAACTAAAATAGCTTATTTCTAAAATAAGATTTTTCTCTAATTTACTGCAAGGTTGAGACATTTTCTGAGTAGTATAGCAGAAATCATTTTATATCTGATCAAAATCTGGCAAGTATTGGCATGACACAAAATGAAGTGTATTTTAAAACTGGTGAATACATAAAAATAGACTGATAGAAGTGATATGATTTTATAATATTGGAAGAGAAAGAACTAAAATAACTAAGTCAAAATATAGAAGACTAATGAACCCATGTCTCCTGTACCATATGATTTTAAAGAATAGAGCCACCCTTCTTTGCTCCCAGGGCTTAGCCATACACGTTTGTCATTTTTTGTCTAGGTGCCAAAGCTTGTTTGCTTTCTCTCTAAAAGGCTAGCCAGTTGACTAAGGAGTAATCTTTACCAAAAAGTGTATATATATATATTTTAGCCAATTTCTATTTGGAAGCTTGACGATCCAGACAAAACCATTCTGGATTGCACCAAAATTAGGTTCCAGGCCAGTTTATCCACTAGTCTCTCACTTAGATTATCTAAGTCCCTAATCTCAGTGGGATAACATGAAATAAGCAGTATGAAAGACCCTTAAAAAAAAACAAACAGTACAGTGTTATCTAGATACTTATGTCCTCTTTGCTTATACCGAGTTCCTGGCTCTATTCTGGGGTCTCTGCCTGCATTTTCTCCCCTTGATTCTCAGAACAACCCCATGAATACTATTATTATCCATATTTACAGGGGAGAAAACTAAGACACATAGCAATTAAATAAGGTCACATGGTGGTGGAGCCAGGATTCAAACCCATGCATTCTGTCCTTAAAGCCAAAATGTTCGATTTTTACCATCCCATAGGAACCATTTACAGTAAATCTTATAAGTCTGAACAGAGAGAGAGAGAAGGAGAGAGGGAGAGAGAGAGAGAGAGAGAGAGAGAGAAAGAGGAAAGGAGAGAAGGAGAGATCTTGAGTGAATGTCCCTTTTCTTTAATTTGCTTTTAAGGTTTTGGGCTTAAAGATTTTAAATTAGTTAAAACATTTAGGTTTTAAGAATTAATTAAACAAATGTAGAAGTGGCTGTAGCTAATGGCAGATAGAATAAATATAAATATATCAAGACAAACATTCAAGTTTTGAGTTTTGAGTGGGTCAGAGAAGAAACTGGTAAATGAGAATACACCAAATATATATATATTTTACTGTTTAACTAAATCAGATTGTGTCCTTAATTTTCATTTTCCTTGTTTAAGGGATGGGAGAGACATGGTGGATTCTGTTACAAAATTGACACCGTCCTTCGAAGCTTTGACCACGCCTCCAGTGGTTACTACTGTCCTCCTGCACTTGTAACCATTACAAACAGGTAAAATAGAAATTTTCTATCAGAAACATGCAGTGCTTTTTTGCCGTGAGGGTTCTTGGGATGATAAAATCTAGCCACAATCAGTAACTAGTGAAAATCTAAAGTGTACTGTACAACAGAGTATTAAGTTATTTAAATTGTTGATTTAGATGAATTTATACCATACAACGTTAATTTTTTTTTTTTTTTTTTTGGCGGTACGCGGGCCTCTCACTGTTGTGGCCTCTCCCGTTGCGGAGCACAGGCTCCGGACGCGCAGGCCCAGTGGCCATGGCTCACGGGCCCAGCCGCTCCGCAGCATGTGGGATCTTCCCGGACCGGGGCACGAACTCGTGTCCCCTGCATCAGCAGGCGGACTCTCAACCACTGCGCCACCAGGGAAACCCCAATTTAAAATGTTAATTTTAAATTGATTTTTGAGTAACAAATAGTAAAATTTAAGATGTCTTTTATTTTCCATAAAGATTTCTTAATTACCTAGCTTTGCTAATATATTCAGTTGTAATGATATTTTATCTAAGTGCTTGTAATAGAAAAGAAATATGTTATTTAAATATGAAGTGTTTTTTAAATGTAATGTGTATGAGTCATGTGGAGTTTTTTTAGAACAAAAGTAAGTAAAACTAAACTGTGGAGGATTTTCAAATGCTTCCCCATTGCTTCTTAGGTCTACGTTTGTTTAGATTTAGATTTCTCTATGCACAGGTATCTTTACCATACAAACAGAGAAACTGTGCCCTTTTCACACTCCATACAATTTGCAACATGTTACAGATGTGTAGCAAGGGATAAAAGTACCAACATCAGAAGAGACCTCAGTGTCATTATCAATGCCAGGAGGACAGTGAGAGCTGGGAGACAGACTCCTCCAGGCTGAAGACAGAATCAAGGTAGAACTCTTCAGTGGTTCCGTGGAAAATTATACCCACAAAGCAAGTCGCTTGCTTTTTTACCGAGGTCATTGCCTTTAAAAAAATCTGTTGAAGACCAGGAATCAGGACAACTGGTGCTATGGTTTTATCTAGAGACCCCTTCACATGCAGGTCTAACCTGTAGGAGGAATTCTGTGTGCTTTCTCTGCTCTCCCCACATGGGGCGTCAACGTTCAAAGCTGCCAGTGTTTCCTTCCTCCTCTTACCTCTTACCTTCTGTCTGTCTTTCCTCCAAACAATGCACAGGGATGCACACACACACACACACACACACATACACACACACAGAGGGACAGATTGACCGCATCTGGCAAAATAAATTGCCGGGTGAAATATTTTATGCTCAAGAAACCCTTTCTTCGGGGCACAGCACCACTTCTGATGTATCTCAGTGTTGTTTTTAGTTCTCCTTTCTCCTTCCCAGAATAGCTACCAGGCAGAAGAAAGCCTTTATCCTCAGCCTTGTTCACCCACCCACAAGCTTTCGAGAGTACCTTGGGCTAGAAGTCCTCCAGTCAGTGAGTCAACATTGGACTTTATTCAGGATCTTGACCAATGAAGATGTGCTCTTTCGTTAATTATAATGTTTTTCACTGAAGAAGAAGGTCTAATTATTTCACCTGTTTTTACATCTTATTCTTTCTTTTTTTGTGTGTAATATTCATTGAGTGTCTATCACATACCTGGCACTGTGTTAACTACTTTTCATATGTTATCTGACTATGCAAAAATCAACAGTCAAGAGTTTATTAGAGGGACTTGCCTGGTGGCGCAGTGGTTAAGAATCTGCCTGCCAATGCAGGGGACACAGGTTCGAGCCCTGGCCCAGGAAGATCCCACATGCCACGGAGCAACTAAGCCCGTGTGCCACAACTACTGAGCCTGCACTCTAGAGCCCACGAGCCACAACTACTGAGCCCATGCACCACAACTACTGAAGCCTGTGCGCTCTAGGGCCCATGCTCCACAACAAGAGAAGCCACCGCAACGAGAAGCCCACGCACTGCAAGGAAGACTAACCCCCGCTCACCGCAACTAGAGAAAGCCTGCGCACAGCAACGAAGACCCAACACAGCCAAAAAATAAATTAAAAAGAAAGTTTATTAGAAAATTATTTATTGAATATCTATACTGTGAGAGGCATCATATTAAACACTGGCATGCTGTACAAAAAAATAAATAAAAATAAAAGGTATAGTGCAGTCGCCCAGGTGCCACTTGCAGGCCAGCAGCGAAAGAGATAGAACATAAACACATGAAACAAGTGAAGAAAGTGGAATAACACAATAAATGGACAAACTCAAAGTGACATTACAGATAACTCATAGTGCCAAAGTGACCCAAGTAAGGCAGAAACCTGTTAGAGTTCAAGCACTTCATTTTCTAAGAATCCTTTGGGGACCTCATGCAAATGATAGAAAGTATCTAGAAAACAACCTACTATGTTTCATTTCCCCCAAAACTGAATAAGAGAGTGTGCTGTGAATACTGTACATTTTTTTATAAACTGTATTCAGTAGGCAAAGCTGATGTGAGGTCCAACTCTAAAACAGATCTATAGCTTGGGTAAATTTGTTTTCATCCCCTCCTCGACCTCCTAGGCCCCCCAGGTGACCTTTTCCTGGCATGCTACTCAGTCACCAGTCAAGCCCCCGAGTACTACACATTAGTCTCAGTGAGGCATCTCTCCCAGGCAGTTAACATGCATGAACACTGCCTTGCAAACATGTCTGCATCCAGAGCAATGACTCAAAAATGAGACATACAAGTTGAATACAGGAAGTGTCCTAAGCTCTTGATTTTTATTCGTTCGGACCTTATCAGATAAGAAACAAAGACCCACGGCATACTGTTCTTTGAGTGACAATTCACATTCGAGTATTTTTCAACAGGAGCTTTTGTCTGAGAAGGTTGGGCAGTAGATGGACAGTCTCCTCAGATCCAGGAGTATCCACTAGCAACCTTGGTAATCATTTTCTTCCATTACTGATTTCCTGTTTGAGTTAAGACACCCCTGTCACTCACCAGTACCCAAGCTTGTAGTTGCTAATTGATTTTCTACTCTTCTGCACAACTGAGCAACAGATTTTATGGGCACAATTAGAACCACCTGCTACAAATTACGTCCTTCTTTTGTTATGGGGCAACTGCTCCTGGCCTAGGACTTTTAACACTTTGTGGAGAGAGAGGGGAAGAAAAACAAACCCCTATTCCCAAATAACAGAATTTTATTTGCTTGCTGTTAGAAAATTTTGTTAGGCCTGGCCACCTGCTTTCAGACAGAGCAGGAATGCAAAACTTGAGTTCCAAAGTTACTATGGATAATTGTCTAAATGCATGTATATCTAAACCTTCGATCAATCAGCCTTGGAATATTTGTACAAAATAATCCAAATGACATTAGATTTTGAGAATTTTGCCCCAAATGAGAAATGCTGCAATATCTCACTTTTTCCTAAGTTTAAACGTGCATTATTTGCAAGCATTTTTATAGCTCTGCCGTTTTCTTGCAACCACATCCCCCAAACACTTTTACAGTTAACTTTTTAATATTGTGGAAAAATATAATACATAACAAAATTATCATTTTAACCATTTTAAGTGTACAGTCCAGTGGCATTAAGTACATTCATATTATTGTACAACCATCACCACCATCCAGCTCCAAAATATTTTTCATCTTCCCAAACTGAAATTCTGTATCCACTAAACACTAACTCCCCATTTCCCTTGCTCCCAGCTTTTGGCAACCACCATTCTACTTTCTGTGTCTGTGAAGTTGACTACTACAGTTACCTTATAACTAGGATCATACAGTAGTTGTCTATTGTGCCTAGTTTATTTCACTTATCCTGATGTCCTCTAGGTTAATCCATGTTGTAGCATGTGTCAGAATGTCCTTCCTTTTTTTTTTTTAAAGAAGATGTTGGGGGTAGGATTTTTTATTAATTAATTAATTTATTTTTGCTGTGCTGGGCCTTCGTTTCCGTGCGAGGGCTTTCTCTAGTTGTGGCGAGCGGGGGCCACTCTTCATCGTGATGCGTGGGCCTCTCACTATCGCGGCCTGTTGCGGAGCACAGGCTCCAGATGCGCAGGCTCAGTAGTTGTGGCTCACAGGCCTAGTTGCTCCGTGGCATGTGGGATCCTCCCAGACCAGGGCTTGAACCCATGTCCCCTGCATTAGCAGGCAGATTCTCAACTACTGCGCCACCAGGGAAGCCCTGTCCTTCCTTTTTAAGGCTGAATAATATTCCATAGTATGGATATACTACATTTTGTTTATCCATTCATCTATTGATAGACACAAGATACTTCTGCCTTTTGGATATTGTGAATAATGCTGCTATGAATATGAATATCCAAATATCTTTCAAGTTCCTGCTTTCAATTATTTTGGGCACTATACCCAGAAGTGGAATTTTCTGGATCATATAATAATTCTATTTTTAACTATTTGAGGAACAACCATACTGGTTTCCATAGGAGCTACAACATTTTACATTCCCACCAGTAGTGCACAAGGGCTCCAATTCCTCCACCTCCTAGCCAACACTTGCTTATTTTCTGTTTTTACATAATAGCCATCCTATGGATGTGACGTGGTATCTCATTGTGGTTTTGATTTGCATTTTCCTAATGATTAGTGATGCTGAGCATCTTTTCATGTGCTTATTGGCATCTTTATATCTCCTTTGGAGAGACGTCTATTCAAGTCTTTTTCCCATTTTTGAACAGAAGTGTTTGTTTTCTGTCATTGAATTGTAGGAGTCTTTATATATTCTGGATATTAATTGTTTATCAGATACATAATTTGCAAATACTATCTCCTATTCGTGGGTTGCCTTTCACTATGTTGATAGTGTCCTTTGATGTGCAAAAGTTTTTAATTTTGATTAAGTCCAATTTATCCTTTCTTATTTTTTTGCCGGTGCTTTTGGTGTTTTATCCAAGAAATCACTGCCACATTCAACGCCATGAAAAATTTCCCCTATGTTTTCTTCTAAGAGTGTTACAGTTTTAGCTCATATGTTTAGGTCTTTGATCCACTTTGTGTTAATTTTTGTAAATGGTGTAGGGTAAGAGTCCAGCTGCATTCTTTTGTAGGTGGATACTCACTTTTCACAACGTTATTATTGAAAAAACTGTCCTTTCCTCATTGAATGGTCTTGGCACCCTTGTGGAAAATCATTTGACCATATATGCAATGATTTATTTCTGAGTTCTCTATTCTATTCCATTGGTCTATATGTCTGTCTTTATGCCAGTATCACACTATTTAGATTACTGTACTTTTTAGTAAGTTTTGAAATCAAGAAGTGTGAGACCTCCAATTTCGTTCTGCTTTTTCATGCTTGTTTTTGCTATTCAGGATGTCTTGAAATTCCGTATGAATTTTAAGATGAATTTTTCTACTTCTGCCAAAAAAAAATCACTGGGATTTTTACAGGGATTGCATTCAATCTGTTGATCACTTTGGGTAGTATGGACATTTTAACAATAAATCTTCCAATCCATGAATATGGGATGTCTTTCCATTTATCTGTGGCTTCTTTAATTTCATTTTTTTAACATCTTTATTGGAGTATAGTTGCTTTACAAACTTGTGTTAGTTTCTGCTGTATAACAAAGTGAATCAGCTGTATGTCTACATATATCCCCATATCCCCTCCCTCTTGCGTCTCACTCCCACCCTCCCTATCCCACCCCTCTAGGTGGTCACAAAGCACAGAGTTGATCTCCCTGTGCTATGCAGCTGCTTCCCACTAGCTATCTATTTTACATTTGGTGGTGTATATATGTCAATGCTATTCTCTCACTTTGTCCCAGCTTACCCTTCCCCCTCCCCGTGTTCTCAAGTCCATTCTCTACATCTGTGTCTTTATTCCTGTCTTGCCCCAGGTTCATCAGAATCTTTTTTTTTTTGATTCCATATATATGTGTTAGCATATGGTATTTGTTATTCTCTTTCTGACTTACTTCACTCTGTATGACAGACTCTAGGTCCATCACCTCACTACAAATAACTCAATTTTGTTTCTTTATATGGCTGAGTAATATTCCATTGTATATATGTGCCATATCTTCTTTATCCATTCATCTGTCGAAGGACTCTTTGTGTCTTCTTTAATTTCTTTCAGCAATGTTTTCTAGTTTTCAGTGTACAAGTCTTTTGCCTCCTTGGTCAAGTTCGTTCCCCAGTACTTTATTATTTTTGATGCTATTGTCAATGGAATTATTTTCCTTTTCAGATTGTTCACTGTTAGTATATAAAAATGCAACTGATTTTTGTGTGACTTTGTATCCTCCACTTGCTGAATTCATTTATTAATTCTAACAGTTTTTAATTTTTTGGTAGAATGCAGTAAACTTTCTTTTTAAAAACACACTTTGGGGCTTCCCTGGTGGCGCAGTGGTTGAGAGTCCGCCTGCCAATGCAGGGGACACGGGTTCGTGCCCCGGTCCAGGAGGATCCCACGTGCCGCGGAGCGGCTGGGCCCGTGAGCCACGGCCGCTGAGCCTGCGCGTCCGGAGCCTGTGCTCCGCAACGGGAGAGGCCACAACAGTGAGAGGCCCGCGTACCGCAAAAAAAAAACAACACATTTTGGTTACCCTTTTTAAAATTACACAATAGAAACATTCTCATTGGTATAAATTCAAGCAAGCCAGAAGAATATCGATTAAAAAGTGAAAGTGCCCCCTTACCTTTACTCTTGCCCCCTCCCAGCCAATCTCTCTTCCCTTCCCAAAGGTAACTGCCACTAAAAGTTTGCATTGCTCTTCCAGGTTTATTTCTTGTGTACATATTAGATGTATTTTCTAATTCTATATTTTTCTTCTAGTCTTTTGAAAGAAGCAATATCCAAAAATCTTAACATTTCTAGTTCTTGAGGAATACCGTCAGAAACTTCTTGCAGTAGTGGTCATGACACGTCTCCCATTTGAAGACTACTGATATTCTACTGTCATTCTTCATTTAAAAGAAAGAAATTTATCACTTTAATATTAGTTCAGCAATAGAGTTAGTTGTTTGAAAATGGTATCAAAAGTGCTAACAAGTGTTTTATTGGGAGAAATACAATTGCAATTACTCAGCTCAAAACTGAGTCCCTCCTAACCAAATCATGTATGTATATATATATATATATATATATATATACATACATACATACACATATTGTTTAAGTTGAAATGGCTCTCTAGTGAAGCTACTTCCAATGCATTACGTTTTTTCAATCTCTGGTTTTAGGTACCACAAACACAGTCATTAATTACTGATTTCTGCTAACTACTGTGTTATTCACAGACAAGAAACATCTTTTTTTTTTTTCAGCTACATATGTCACTGGCTAAACTGATGAAGAAATATAATGTTCAATTAGAGATTTAAGCATAAAATACCTTTTTCAAAGTGTGCATTTTTGAAATATAAAATATTTACTTTGAAATGAAAAAATGTGTCAAGTATGCCAAAAAAATGCATTGCTAACTTCAAATTGCATTTTTTTAAAGTAAAATTTAATGTTTAGCACCATGAGCAACAGATTCTTCTCAAACTGATAGAAGTTCAAGATACACTTGTTTTTTTCTGGTTTACATTGAAAATAAACATTTGATTGCTTGCCTTTTTAAAGGATTGATGGGAAATTTTTTTTCTGATTTTAAGAAGTATTCACCTACAGACTTTGATTTTGTAAGTAGGTTATAAGCAAAATATTTTATCATTTGTTTTTCTGAAGAATAACAATTTTTACTTTACCAAATTCCTCAAAAAATATATAAAAATATGTACATATGGTTATTGTTTGTTTCTTAAATCATAATAACATTTAAATTAAACAACATCAGTGAAACCAGACAAAAAATCCAGATATGAAACTCTGGAATATTCTCAAATGAAGAATTCTAAAACACAGGGCCAGAAAAGACTTTAAGAGGTCATCTGCTCTATTACCGTTAAGCCAGAGTTTTCACAACTCTTTAAGTGTTTGAAGCCAAACAGTGAGTGATAAAGAATATAAAAAGATCTCGTTTCTTTATCAGTTGGAAACAGAAACTCAAGAGATTGCATGCTGTTATCCAGAGTTAATTTCTTAGAGTACATGGTTTAGAAAAAAGATATAGTTGCTGAATTTTGTTATTAACAATGCCGTCTTCTAAACTGGACCAGGAAAAACTAGAGTCCTGTTTTTATCTGAAGGTTATAGGATTTAATGTATTAGTATTATATGTAACTGCTTAAAAGATATACTTGCCAATTCAAAAAGCAGATTTGTATTGTTTTGAGCAATGATAAATGGTTATAAAATAGCAAATCAGAGTGGACTAAATAAATCTAAAACCAACGGGGGACAAAAGCAAAGTGTTGTCATGAATAATGATACCAGAAGCCAAGCTCACAGACAACTGTTATCTCCCCATTATCCAATAAATGCCATAGTACAAGGTAATGGAAGAACCAGTGATGTCCCCTGGGTTGAGAACAAGCACAGTGCCTAGTGGTCCTGACCGTAGCCTCCATGGTGTAGTGCCTTGCTGGCCTCCTAGCATTGTAGTTTCAGGCACCAGCTATGCATGATAATGATGCTACTCTGCCTCAGAGGCGAGAAGGAAAAACAGATCCTATGTTATAAGAGCATGAACCAGTGGAAGTGTAAGGAAACTTACACAGCATCTAGAGAGTATTTACTTTTATATACCTTCTTTTTTTTTATATACCTTCTTTCTGAAGCATGTTTATGTAAGGTTCTGCCACTGCAATCTGATTTAAAAAGAACTTTTCTAATTTCAAATGTGTGCTATTTAGATTATCAATAGACTATCTGCAGAACATATTCACTAAAGCACATGCTCTGCAAAGATGAGTATCATGGATGCCTCATAAAACTAACTGTTGCTAGTGATGTTCATAAGGCAGTTAAAAAGTGTGCCTCTTTGTGTTCTTTTCTCTTTCTCTCCCCTATTTCCTTTGAGACTCCTCTATTCTTGAATGACCCCATTTCTTCTGCTTCCTTTAGCAAGTTAAAGATGCATGGTAATGAAAAAAAATCCAAAATCAGATGAAAAAGTCTAATTTGCTTTCTCCTTAGGTTTCCTGGATAATTTCATCAGGTGTTTCCTTTCTTAATGACTCAGAGGGTCTGGCCAAAAGTTACCACTGTTTGAAAGGTGTTTCTTCAAAACTTTACATGTACTGAAAGTAAATTTTTCAAGATAGTTTCCAACTTAGCTTAAAATTTCAATGCTGGTTAAAGTTTATTACATGTTTCTGTTAGGTATTCATGTGGAAGCATGTATACAAATTTTCTAGATTCTGCTTTCAATGCATTCATGTTGAAGAGGGAGCATTGCCAGCAGTCAATGAACACTAATTCATTCAGCCGTTTGGGGAATATAGTGGGTGTACTTCTTTGGATTAGTTCCTAAGGTTTTAAATTTATCTTCAGTGAATAGGCTCATCTGAACACATTTGAATAAGCCAGTGACTCCATGTGCCTGTGAACAAACTGCTCTGGGAGACATAAAATTGCTACTCCAATTTCTGTTCCATTCTCACCAGGCAAGTGTGGTGGGTGGGCACATGTGAACCCTGTGTCAGGCAGATGCTCATTCAGAAAAGCATTGTGTCCCTCCTCCTCCCTCTTCTCCACCTCCCCCACCGCCACCTCCCCACCACATGCACATTACAGCATGTGTGTGCTGTGTGGTCTAATTACACAATACGGCATATGTTGCGCCAAGAAATGTATCGCTAGCTTTCTGGACTTTACTACCTACACTCCGAAACTGGAACCGGACTCTGTTCCTTGAAAGAATTGAGCACCACCTTTGAGGATCAAATTTTCCTCACTCATATATTTCTGGGAATTGCACTGATGTTTGGCATTTATTAGTAACATTCAGGGTCTTTGAGTATTTTTCTGTCCCATGTTCTAAGGAATTCATGAGAAATGCTTACACGGGTGCCATTCTATGCACCTTATTATGTTTTAACGACATTTCTTTATTGCCCAGAAACTTACGATAATCATTTCCTTTTTCCCTTTTTCAGGTTTGAACAGGCTTTTATTACCAGTTTGATCAGTAGTGTGGTAAAAACGAAGGACACTTATTTTTGGATAGCTCTTCAAGATCAAAATGATACAGGAGAATACACTTGGAAGACGGCAGGGCAGAAGTCAGAGCCGGTGAAGTACACACACTGGAATGCACGTCAGCCCCGTGAGTAGAGGGCACTGTCACACCACTTCTCCCTCCTGTTTTCTTTGCCCCCAAATTCTATCAACCTTATGGTCCACCTCCTCTGATTCTTCCTTAGTGTTTTCTTAATGCATAAATCAACTAAAACAATTACCACCGGTTCTCAGGGGTGATATATGCCTGGCCATTTTTTAAAGTATAATTCATATGAGTCATTTGACGAGTTCAAGGTATAAATTCATTGCTCAAGACCACACATGCCTTTGTTAGCAGAAGTCCAGTTTATCCCTCCTAAAGTCTTTTCCTCATCCGCCCTCATTGTCCAAGAATCTCAGGGGCTTACTCAGTCCAGAATACTCTGTCATACTTCAAAGCAGAGTGAATGGGCACATTTGAGCATATCTAATCAGTTCACAGTCACTGCCACGTGACTTTGCTGTGGAATGTTACTTAGGTAACATTCTTGCTAGTCCATCTCCTCCGTGGACTTCTGTGGTACCTTAGCCAGAATTTCAGAGTTACAGGTCTATTAATTCACCATCCTGTGCTCAGCTCTGGATCCCAAAGCATGAAACTGTGCCAGAGAAGCTAATGGTTTCAGCCATAATCTACACTAAAACCAGGCCCTGTGGACCAAGCTTTAGGCCCTTGTGTTAATCTTAGGTCACCAACCTAGATCCAACACACCTTTACCTCAGTGTGAACCCTGTTTGGATGCCTTGATCCCTTTCTTTTTTAAAAAAAAAAAAAAATTTATTTATTTTATTTATTTATTTTTGGCTGCATTGGGTATTTGCTGCTATGCACGGGATTTTTCTACTTGCAGCAAGTGGGGGCTACTCTTCGTTGTGGCTTGTGGGCTCTAGAGCACAGGCTCAGTAGTTGTGGTTCACAGGCTTAGTTGCTCTGTGGCATGTGGGATCTTCCCGGACCAGGGCTCGAACCCATGTCCCCTGCATTAGCAGGCAGATTCTTAACCACTGCACTGCCAGGGAAGTCCTTGGTCCCTTTCTTGCCTGGGGATCTCAATCAGGGCTACCCCAATAGACAATAGGCAATAGGTTATCTTTAAATTTGTATCTAGAGGAAGTGGGTTAGAGGCCTCAAGCTCCTCCCTGAGGAAAGATAACTATTATTATAATATAATAATAATTGTTATCATATATCACATATATAACAATAATTAGAGAACTAAACACCAATTAAAAGATATTTTTAGAGCGGTTCAAAAAATAAGACCCAAGTATATGTTGTCTAAAAAAACCCCACTTTAAATATACACCTATAGATTAAAAGTAAAGGGATAGAGAAAGATATCCATGTTAACATTAATCAAAAGAAAGCAGGAATAGCTATATTAATTTGACACAGAGCAGATTTCAGAACAAGAAAAATTTCCAGGGATAAAAATGGACATTACAAAAGTCAGATAAAAAAGTCAGCTCTAAAGAAGACATAACAATCCTTAATGTGCATGTACCTAACAACAGAGTGTCAAAATATATGAGGGAAAAACTGATAGAACTCCAAGGAGAAATAGATGAATCTACTGTTATAGTTAGAGACTCTTAACACCCCTATGACAGAAATGGACAGATCCAGCAGACAGAAAATCAGTAAGGACAAAATTGAACTCAACAGCACTATCAATCAACTGGATATGATTGACATCTGTAGACTACTTCATCCAACAACAGCAACAGCAGATTACACATTCTTCTCAAGCTTATGTGGAACATCCACTGAGATAGACTAGGCCATAAAACACACTTAACAAATTTAAAACAAGTCATACAATGTCTGCTCTCAGATCACATGAAATTAAATAGAAATAAAGAACAGAAAGATAGCTGAGAAAATTCCAAAACACTTGGAGATTAAGCAGTACACTTCTAAATAACACATGGGTCAAAGAAGAAATCTCAAGAGAAAATTTTTTAACATTTTAAATTAAATGAAAATGAAAATACATTTATGAGATGAAGAGAAAGCAGGGCTTAGAGGGAAATTTATAGCACTGAATGCACATAATAGAAAAGAAGAAATATTTAAAATCGGTAATCTAAGCTTCCACCTTAGGAAACTAGAAAAAGAAGAGCATATTAAATCCAATGTAAGTAGAAGAAAAGAAATAATAAGAATTAAAGCAGAAATCAATGAAATTGAAGACAGGAAATCAATAAAGAAAATCAATGAAACTAAAAGCTGGTTCTTTGAAAATATCAATGAAATTGATAAGCCTCTAGCCAGGCTCACTAAGAAAAAAGAGAGGAGACACAAGTTACTAATATCATAAATGAAAAAAAGGGACATCACTACAGATCCCATGGTCATTAAAAGGATAAAAAAGGAATATTATGAGCAACTCTATATCCATAAATTTGACAACCTAGGTGAAATTGACCAATTCTTTGAAAGACACAATCTACCAAAACTCACACAAGAAGAAATAGACCCTCTGAATAAGCCTACATCTATTAAGAAATTGAATCAGTAATTCATAACTTTCCAAAACAGAAAGCAGCAGGCTCATATGGGTTCAACTGGTGAATTCTACCAAACATTTAAGGAAGAAATTATACCAGCTTTCTACAACTTTTTCCAGAAGTTAGAAGCAGAGGGATACTTTGTAACTTGTTCTATGAGGGCAACATTACCCTAATACCAAAGTCAGACAAGGACATTACAAGAAAAGAAAACTACAGACCACCATCTCTCACGAACATAGGCACAAAAAATCTTTAACAAAATATTAACAAATTGAATCCAACAATGTATAAAGAGAGTTACACACCTCAGTCAAGTGGAATTTACCCCAAGTATGCAAGGCTGGTTCAACATTTGAAAACTTATTAATGTTATCCATGACATCAACAGGCTAAAAAAGCAAAATCACATGATCGTATCAATAGATACAGAAAAAAGCATCTGACAAAATTCAACACCTATTCATGTTAAAAACTGTTAGCAAACAAGGAATAGAGGGGAACTTCCTCAACTTGATAAAGAACATCTACAGAAAACCCACAGTTATCATACTTAATGGTGAAAAACTAGAAGCTTCCCCACTAAGATCAGGAACAAGGCAAGGATGTTCCTTTTCAACACTCTTTTAAACATTGTACTAGAAGTCCTAGCTAATGCAATAAGACAAGAAAAGCAATTAAAAGGTACAGATTGGAAGAAAATAAAACTTTGTTCACAGATGACATGATTGTTTATGTAGAAAATTAGAAAGAATCAAAAACAATTCCTGGAACTAGTAAGCAACTATAGCAAGATTGCAGGATACAAGATTAATGCTCAAAAGTCAATTGTTTTCTGTATACCAGCAATGAAAAGGGGAACTTTAAATTAAAAACATATTACATTAACACCCCTCAAAATGAAATTTTTAGATATAAATCTAACAATATATATAAGATCTATAGAGGAAAACTATAACTTTTAATGGCAGAAATCAAGAAGAACTAAATAAATAGAGAGAGATTCCATGTTCATAGGTAGACTCAGTATTGTCAAGATGTCACTTCTACACAAATTGACCTATAGACTCAATGCTATCCCAATCAAAACACCAGCAAATTATTTTGTGGATATTGACAAACTGGTTCTAAAGCTTATAATGAGAAGCAAAAGACCCAGGATAACCAACTCAGTACTGAAGGAGAAGAACAAAGTCAGAGGATTGATACTACCTGACTTCAAGAGTTATTATAAATCTACAGCAATTAAGACAATATGGTTTCGGCAAGAAAAAAAAAAAAGACAAATAAATCAATAAAAAAGTATAAAGAGCCTAGAAATAGACTGACACAAAAATAGTCAGCTGATCACTGAAAAAGAAGCAAAAACAATACAATAGAAAAAACTTTTTGACAAATGGTGCGTGGCCAATTGCACATCCACATGCCAAAAAAAAAAAAAAAAAAAAAATAATAAAAAATTAGCTTACCATAATTAAAACAACAAAAAAAAAAAAAAAAAAAAAAAAAAAAAATAGACACAGGGTTTACGCCCTTAACAAAATTAACTCAAAATGGATCATAGCCCTAAATGTAAAACACAAAGCTTTGACATTCCCAGAAGAAAAGATAATAGAAAACCTACATGACCTTGGGTATGGTGATGACTTTTTAGATACAACACCAAAAGCAAAATCCATGAAATAAATAATTGATGAGCTAGATTTCATTAAAACTAAAACTTCATTAAAACTTGTGCTCTGAGAAAGATAATGTCAAGAGAATGAGAAGACAAGCCACAGAATGGGAGAAAATATTTGTAAAAATCATATCTGATAAAGAACTGTTATACAAAATATACAAGGAACTCTTAAAACTCAACAACAAGTAAACAAAATACCCAATCTAAAAATGGACAAAAATCTTAAAGAAGATATATAGATGAAAAGTAAGCATATGAAAATATGTCGAACATCATATGTCATTAGGAAATTGCAAATTAAAACAATGAGATACTGCCACACACTTATTAGAATGACCAAAATCCAAAACACTGACACCACCAAATACTGGCAATGATTTGGAGCAACAGGAGCGCTCATACATTGCTGGCAGGAATGCAAAATGGTATAGCCACTTTCAATGACAGGTTGGCATTTGCTTACAGAAGTAAACATACTCTTACCATACAATCCAACACTTACACTCCTTGGTGTTTACCCAAATGAATTGAAAACATGTCCACACAAAGACATGCATATGGATTTTTTTTTATAGAAGCTTTATTCATACTTGCCAAAACTTAAAAGCAATCAGGATTTCTTTTAGTAGATGAGTGAATAAACTGTGTTACATGCAGACAATGGAATATCATTCAGTGCTAAAAAGAAATGAGCTATCAAGTCATGAAAAGACATGGAGGAAACTTAAATGTGTATTACTAAGTGAAAGAAGCCAATCTGAAAAGGCTGCTTACTGTGTAATTCCAACCATATGACATTCTGGAAAAGGCAAAACTATGGAGACAGTAAAAAGATTAGTGGTTTCCAGGGGCTG